CTACCATCGGGACTTTTTAGAGGGGTTGTATTTGCCAAAAAAACCTACAACGGCACGATAGGACGCGCCCGGCTCGTCACTGTCCCTGACGGCTCCGATAACATCTTAACATCAGTAAGAATTCCGTGGCATTTCACCCTCGAACCTTTGTTAGACGAAGTCTTCTGCTCCCCCCCTCCATTTCCCTCCGCTTCTACGTAGCAGTCTCTACGTCAGTTCCTCTTGAATGTTACTTTTCTAATTAGCTTTCGAAAGAGGCGATTTGAAAAATAACTTGTGTCAAACGAAATTTTATTTTCTTCTTCCTCAGGTTACTTTTGCCATTGCAGTTTTTTATCTCAAATCTGCCTGCGATTAGCTATACGATTAGCTACAATATACACTATCTGTTCTAGAAAAGCTTTCGAAGGATATGAACTACCCTGTTCTTTAAAATTGTTTAGTGTGAAAGGTCACCTAAGAGAGTGAAAAATTTCCACGCTCCAGGCAAAAAGTTTTCCCTACGCGTCGCGTTCGCGTGCGGTCTCGGCGCCCAACGTTTCCCCTTCGTTCCAATTTTCCCATTCATTTCGCACTTTTATGTTCTAGCTGGTAGCTAGTCTTCGAGGTAATGCATTTATTTTTGCAGGAATGTCATCACAAAAGAAATCCAGTACGGACGCAGCAATCAAATGTGGCACCTGTGGTGCACAAGGTGAGTCAATTGTTTCAGTTCTTTTGCTTTTTCCCCAGTTGCAATTGTGTACAATGTCGGCGATTAGAAGTGAATACTCATCGCTGCTATACATTCGTAATGTAACGTTCATCCGTTTCTCAGTGGGGGCAAGGGGTGGAAAACAGACTGTCAATTACTGATATTGTTAAACAGGACACGCCATACATTGGGGATCCCCGGCGAGGAGGCCGTAACTGGTCGTCGGGTAGAGGAGCATATTTTGCAGAAAGTTTTTTTTTTCAGCTGCAATAAGTGCTCTGCTGTTAGGCCAAAGATATAAGTTGTGAAAAGAAGGGAGCGGCGATTCGAAGGAATCCCAGCAAGTATATTAAATTGCCTAGGGCTAGTTGTCCTTGATTCCACCTTAAAATGAGTTCCAGTTATGTGTTTTTCCTCCTTTATAAAACACGTAAGGTTCTCTATCAGTTATTTTATAAAACAACTCATTTTCATGTATCACAGCAGGCCAGCAATTGTAGAACTGCGCATATCGCACGATGGGATCTAACTGTTTTTACAGCATATCCACTGAAATACTGGAAACAGTCGGGCCCATTGTTCGTGATACGATAAACGATGGATAAAGTGCAAAGCGCAAACAGTAATTGATCAGGACTTTGGAATCGAACTACCTCTTTTTGAAATTTTTTCCTAGACATTTGATTTTTACATTTCCTAATTATTTAATTTATTTATAACTTTCCTTTCTGCTGCTTAGGCCGCGCTCATACATGATGCAGAATTGCCGAACCAGGATGTGCAGATGCGGAATTGCAAACCTGCGGAATCGGGAGAAATGCAGAAGAATCTGCAGGAGAATGAAAGAATATCTATTGATTCATTCGGAAAACCGCGGATTTGGGAGAGATGCACACAATAGGGATCGCCGAAACTCCAAAACCGCGGATTTGGGAGAAATGCACAAATGCGGAATCTGCAGAAATCCCGAAATTTCTGCATTTTGGCATTTCTCCCACTGGTGGGGCTGAGCGATCAATCCCTATCAAGTCTTTTCCGTCATTTCGGCATTTCTGCAGATTCCGCATTTCTGCATTTCTCCCGATTCCGCGCTTTTTTCGAATCGATACATACACATTGTTCTATCCGCAGTTTCGTAATTTCTTCAAAATTTTCAAGTGTGAATGCGGCCTTGCAGAACCATGCCCGATGCTAAGTCAAGGGAAAAGTCTGAGGTTACTAGGGGTAACTAAGGTTCCATTCATACTTCGTGGCAGCATTTTGAGCGTACGCTAGCGTTTTCGCGGGCATTTTAGAGTTTGGCGCGCGGTCCTGGAAACGCTGGTATACGCTATTTAACGCGATGTATGCAGCCTAACATGTGAGAAGATAAATAGAATTGTTGTGAGTAATATAGTTTTTAGAATTGGGTGAGAACTAATTACTAATTGAGATTAAAATTGAGCTGAAAGTCCTAGGAGAACGTCACCTGGAGTTCCTCCCCAATTGCCATTGCACTCTGACATTTGAGTAATTCCTCTTTTTATTTCAGGTCATAATGGTTGGAACAGGAGGCGTTGGAAAATCTGCTCTAACACTTCAGTTCATGTATGATGAGGTAATAACTTTGATATTCAATTACAAAATTAGTGGAAATTCTGCGAATCACTACTATTTCCACTGATTTGTCAGCCACTTGCAGAGGTCTTTTTTTAGTTCGTCGAAGAGTATGAACCAACAAAAGCAGATTCATATCGAAAGAAAGTGGTGTTGGATGGGGAAGAGTGTTCAATCGATATCCTTGATACAGCTGGTCAAGAAGACTACTCTGCGATCAGGTATTTTTGTTTTTCGCGTAGACAAGTCGATGCATTTATCGCGGCGGTAAGCTGTGTAAATCAAGCACTCTCATGTTT